CAGGTTGGGAAAGAAGTCAAACTGTCTGGTAGAAGTTACCACCACCCCTTTTCCTCCTACTCTATCAGTTCTCCAAACACCTCTTCTAGTAAGGAGATACAGATCCTGATGGGGAAGTGAGGGATGGAGAGATGGCTCAGCGGTTAAGAGCATTGGCTGCTCCTCCAGAGGTCCTGAGTTCAATTCCCAGCAACCACAGATCCTGATCGGAAGTCTTTTAAAGAGTGCTCTGGAGTCAGGGTGTTTGGGAACAAACCGGAAGCCCTAGCTCTGTCCAAAGCAGCTCTCTTTCACGAGGTGTGCGCATGTGTGTGTGTGTGTGTGGGTGTGTGTGGGTGTATGTGTGTGTGTCTATGGAGGTGTACATGTGGAGGCTAGAGGACAGCTTCGCCGAGTCAGTTCCGTCCTTCCACCCCGTGGGTCAGGGGCTCAAACTCAGGTCCTCAGCTTGGAGGCAAGTGTCCTTAGTCCCTTGCTGAGCCATCTCAATGGGCCCAAAGAGGTTCTCTTAACAGATCTCCACTCCAGCCAGGGTCCCAAGACAGTCGGGAGGATGTCCTCTGTATGATCACTACTCAAGGGTGAAAGGTCTCTAGTACCTTTAAGCAGGTCCAGAGGCAGATAGTTTTACAGAACCCATCATCAACTGCAAGCCATGCCTTCTTAGACCATTAAGGGGGAAGAGGGGTCTTCAAAGCACAACATGCCGGCACACACTTACAGTCCCATCTCCTTGAGAGGCCAACAAGACAAGGCCAGCCCAGGGAGTGTACTGTAACACAACACGAGAGGGTCTCTCCAAACACACAGAAAACTATGGCGCTTACCAAAGATAGATTGGCTTTGGTTTGTTCTGTTATTGTTTTTAAACCACAGCAATTTAAATCACTGCATCTTGGACTAATTTAAAAGCTAAACAAGCGTATCTCAACACTTTTGTTTCAGGTGGTAGCTAATATACAAAGATAAGATGTACATCCCCGGGTTTCAGAGTATGCCGTGTTTAAATTATGCTGGACACCTAGCACACCTGGTGTCTTTTCTCTGGTTGCATTTTTCCAGTCTTTGCTACGGATGCTTCCTGCTCTGTCACAACACACAGCTATGTTAAGTAACCGAAACTTCTGGAAATTCTCCTCAAGAGTGCCTTTTATGGATGAAATTGAGCTTTTGTGTGATTACAGAACACAGACACGGGAAGACACACTGAGTAGCCTAGAGCACTAACAATTATCCCCCTCAGAAAGCACATGAATGCTTTAAGACTGAAGAGAAATATTCCAGGATCCTTGTGCATGCTTATCGCTGTACAATCAGGGGACTCCCTGAGGGCAAGTTGAAAAACGCACGTCTTTCAGGCCCTAGAGGACTCCAGGATCTAGGGCAAAGGGAGTCTACCAAGTACCTTTACTCACCACCTACCTCCTCTCATGAAACTGACATCTTGTGGTTTTTCTACGGTTGGTTTTAAACAACAAATACAAAATCATGTGATTCTGTCTTTTTGTTTGTTTGTTTGTTTGTTTTGTTTTGAGATAGGATCTCACTATGTAGCTGTGGCTGGCCTGGAACTTGGTATGTGGACCAAGCTGGCCTTGAACGCATATATGTCCACCTGTCTCTCTGCCTGACTGCCATGCCCTGCTGTGACCCTGTTTTGGTTTTTCAAGACACAGTTTCTCTATGTAGCCCTGGCTGTCCTGGAACTCGATCTGTAAACCAGGCTGGCCTCGAACTCACAGAGATTCACCTGCCTCTTGTCTCCTGAGTGCTGGGATTAAAGGCGTGCGCCACCACCGCCAGGCTCTCTGTGACCATCTTTAAAGTTGATTTTTTTTAATCACCTAATGATAGTCAGTTTCAAATATCATACAGTCAGGCTCATGGAGCATATAAAAGTCAAGGCAGTTCTTCACAGGGAAGCCAACAGCATCCAAGCTTGCTTACTATCGATCTCCACACCACCCATCCCTTGAACTTCGGAACTGAGGCCCGCCTCCCACAAACACACATCCGACCAGGACCACAGACAGGGGGTGTGACAAGGGGGCCCCAAATCAACTTTTTAATTTCCTTGGAGTGCATGAAGCTCTCTCCCTCCACCTGTCAAAGAAAGTTTAAACTACACCAGTAGGGTTTCATCTCTTCGCTAGCAGGACAAACTGACACCCAGTTTAAAAAAAAACTCCTCCATCTGGTGAGAGTGCTTGATGGGTAAAGGCACCTGAGAGCCTGAGTTCAGTCCCCAGGACCCACATGGCGGAAGGAAAGAACTGACTCCTGCAAACTGTCCTCTGACCTCCGCACACACCAAGAAGTCAATGTAAATTAAAAACAAAAAAAAATCTCTCCTCATCCACCTGTAGGTTCTTGGTACATTGACCAAGTCTCCTTTCACATTTTCTGGCTTCCATTCCATGGCTGCTGCTGTAAACCTTGACTTGTCTTAAGCAAAAACCACATCCCCAGATAAATAAAGGAGAGGGAGCTTCGCATCACCTTGCTTCCTGTCAGCGGCAGGGCAGCCAGCAACAGTGACTCCCAATTAAACCACCAAGGGGAGCCCGGCAATGCTACCAGAGCCAGCTGGGGTTAGGACCAAAGCCACCCCTGGGTTCACCGTCACCGCTTACTTTCTCATGGGAAGGAGGTCTTTCTCCCCATTGTGCTAGGTTTCTAGCTCCTCCCAGAGATGCCCTCCAGACACACACACCCCAGTTGTCTCTCTGTACCCTCTCATGGATCTTTCTTTCTTTCTTT